GAAAAAAATTTTAAAACAAAAAAAATTTTAAAGAAATGTGTCTGGCCAGTAGTAGAACAAGAGATATTCAAACAACCAAAACACTTGAAAAAATGTGTCTGGCCAGTAGTAGAACAAGAGATATTCAAACAACCAAAACACTTGAAAAAATGTGTCCCGGCCAGAGAAACAAGAGATATCAAACAAACCAAAACACTTAAAAAAAATTTTCTGCCAGTATTAAAAAAGAGATTTCAAAAAACCCAAAAACATTTGAAAAATTTCTGGCCAGTATGAACAAGAATTTTAAAAACCAAACACTGAAAAAATGTGTATGTTTTGTGGTAGAACAACAGACAAAAAAACCTTGAGCTGCTGATAGGAAAGCCACCTTTCCCCATTTGCATCTTTTTTTGTTTCCCATGATGAAAAAAATAAATGAAAATAATGTTGACCCTAAAGAAGAAATTTTTTAACCCTTAAAAAAACTTGAAACTTTACTTGTTTTTTTTTGCCACTTATTCCTGGTGTATGTTTCCTCTTTCCCAACGGGCATTTTCCCCTTTTATTTTCCCCTTTTGGCTTTCCTTTTTACTTAAAAGTTTGTGTTGAGGGGAAATTTCGTACTTTCTTCACTCTCCTCTGTCTCAAATTCACACCTTTTACCTGGGTTCTTAATTACACAACCACAAAGTCTGGATTTCTTGCTGCCATAAAGGTCTGACTTAGTCAACCCCTGTCGTAAAACTACTGCTCCCGGGTGTCCAGTGGGGCACTAGCACACCCGGGGAAAGGCGATGCGTGTCCAAAACCGATCGCTGCTGAAAACTGTTTTTCCCTCCGCGGGTGGATATATGGAGTGATCCTCCACCCCTGACGGTTCTCAAAGAGGGTTGCATTAAATATCTAGTGGCACTGTGTCGCTGTAATGCTCTGTCTGAAAAATCACGTGGATCCTCTTCTTCGCTATCGTCATCTGAAACTCTGAAACTGATGTTGCCTAGCCTCTCCTCGTCACTGCTAATTTCATCATCTGTGTGGCCTTCAAGGGCACTTTTAAGGGGCATGCAGATGTTACAGACGTGAAAGGAGCATGGTTTTAGTGGCCGCTTGTGTGGAACATCCAACAACCAAGAAATGTTATTGGCTAAAAATATTCTCAAGCCTGGTGGCATGGGCAGCGCATCCAGAACACTCAGGTGAGTTGGGATGACCTGGCGGAGGATCTGACAGCACAGAAACTGAAGAGAGCTGGGGAAGGAGCTGCGAAACTCTCATGCCATCGTGCAGCTGTTTAAAAAACCCCTCGGATACAGTTCCTTCCCCTCAACCCTCAAATAAAATCCGGAAATATTGGAAACCAAACCAGTCAAACTTCAAACAATATCCTTATATGACTTTCCCTTTTCGCAAATTTAAATTTTCTTTAAATCAACCCCCTTTATCAAACAAGCTTCACCATACAACCCTAGACATCATTGATACAACACGCAGACTGCCTTGATACAACCAAGACTTCACTTGTACAACCCAAAGACTCTTTGATACACCCATAAAATTTTTCCTTTTAGATACAACACCAATAGACTTCACTTGATACAACACCACAGAAAATTACTTCACTTGATACAACACCATAGACTTCACTTGATACCACACCAGAGAACTTCCCTTGATACAACACCATAGACTTCACTTGATACAAACACCAGACTTCTCACTTGATACAACACCATAGACTTCACTTGATACAACACCATAGACTTCACTTGATACAACACCATAGACTTCACTTGATACAACACCATAGATTTTCCTTGATACAACACCATAGACTTCACTTGATACAACACCATAGACTTCACTTGATACAACACCAAATAATTCCCTTGATACAACACCATAGACTTCACTTGATACAACACCATAGACTTCACTTGATACAACACCACAGACTTCACTTGATACAACACCACAGACTTCACTTGATACAACACCATAGACTTCACTTGATACAACACCATAGACTTCACTTGATACATTCCCATAGTACTTCACTTGATACAACACCATAGACTTCACTTGATACAACACCATAGACTTCACTTGATACAACACCACAGAATCATCAGATACAACACCACAGACTCACTTGATACAACACCATAGACTTCACTTGATACAACACCATAGACTTCACTTGATACACACCACAGACTTTCACTTGATACAACCATAGACTTCACTTGATTACATACACTCAGACTTCACTTGATACAACACCATAGACTTCACTTGATCAACACACTTAGACTTACTTGAACAACACCACAGGACTTCACTTGATACAACACCACAGACTTCACTTGATACTAACCACACTAGACTTCACTTGATACAACACCATAGACTTCACTTGATACAACACCACAGACTTCACTTGATACAACACCATAGACTTCACTTGATACAACACCATAGACTTCACTTGATACAACACCACAGACTTCACTTGATACAACACCATAGACTTCACTTGATACAACACCATAGACTTCACTTGATACAACACCATAGACTTCACTTGATACAACACCATAGACTTCACTTGATACAACACCATAGACTTCACTTGATACAACACCATAAAGACTGATACAACACCGTGATACAACATAGACGTTACATACAACCATAGACTTCACTTGATACAAACCATACTTTCACTACAACACTTGACTTACATACACACATCAGACTTCACCTTGATACAAAACACCACTTTAGACCCTTTCACTAGACTTACAACACCATAGACTTCACTTGATACAACCGCCAGACACACCATAGACTTCCACTTGATAAACACCATAGACTCACTTGATACAACACCATAGACTTCACTTGATACAACACCATAGACTTCACTTGATACAACACCATAGACTTTCACTTGATACAAAAAAACCATAGACTTTCACTTGATACAACCCATAGACTTCACTTGATACAACAACAACACATAGACACTTACTTTCACTTGATACAACACCACAGACTTCACTTGATACAACACCAAATAATTCCCTTGATACAACACCATAGACTTCACTTGATACAACACCATAGACTTCACTTGATACAACACCACAGACTTCACTTGATACAACACCACAGACTTCACTTGATACAACACCATAGACTTCACTTGATACAACACCATAGACTTCACTTGATACAACACCATAGACTTCACTTGATACAACACAGAACTTCAGACTATCACTTGATACAACACAGAGATTCACTTGATACAAACACCATAGACTTCACTTGATACAACACCATAGACTTCACTTGATGATACTTGATACACCATAGACTTTACTTGATACAACACCATAGACTTCACTTGATACAACACCATAGACTTCACTTGATACAACACCATAGACTTCACTTGATACAACACCATAGACTTCACTTGATACAACACCATAGACTTCACTTGATACAACACCATAGACTTCCCTTGATACAACACCATAGACTTCACTTGATACAACACCATAGACTTCACTTGATACAACACCATAGACTTCACTTGATACAACACCATAGACTTCACTTGATACAACACCATAGACTTCACTTGATACAACACCACAGACTTCACTTGATACAACACCATAGACTTCACTTGATACAACACCATAGACTTCACTTGATACAACACTACAGAATTCACTAATACAATACTACTGACTTCCCTTGATACAACACCATAGACTTTACTTGATACAACACCATAGACTTCACTTGATACAACACCATAGACTTCACTTGATACAACACCACAGACTTCACTTGATACAACACCATAGACTTCCCTTGATACAACACCATAGACTTCCCTTGATACAACACCATAGACTTCACTTGATTGATACCTTGATACAACACCATAGACTTTCACTTGATACAACACCAACAGACCACTAGACTTCACTTGATACAACACCATAGACTTCACCTTGATACAACACCATAGACTTTCACTTGATACAACACCATAGACTTCACTTGATACAACACCATAGACTTCACTTGATACAACACCACATAGACTTCACTTGATACCAAGACACCATACAACACCACAAATTCACTTGATACAACACCATAGACTTTTCACTTGATACAACACCATAGACTTTCACTTGATACAACCACTACAGACTTCACTTGATACAAACAGACTTCCTTGTTACAACACAGACTTCACTTGATACAACACCATAGACTTCACTTGATACAACACCATAGACTTCACTTGATAAAACACCACAGACATCACTTGATACAACACTACAGACTTCACTTGATTCAACACCATAGACTTCACTTGATACAACACCATATACTTCCCTTGATACAACACCATAGACTTCACTTGATACAACACCATATACTTCCCTTGATACAACACCATAGACTTCACTTGATACAACACCATAGACTTCACTTGATACAACACCACAGAATTCTCTTGATACAACACCATAGACTTCACTTGATACAACACCATAGACTTCACTTGATACAACACCATAGACTTCACTTGATACAACACCATAGACTTCACTTGATACAATACTACAGAATTCACTGATACAATACTACTGACTTCTCTTTTAGTACCAGAATGTTTTTTGGGAGATGCCAATAAAGACATATTCATGATTAAAATTTGTGATCTCATTACTTTTAAAACAGTAATACAGCAGTAGTAGTGAGCATTGGACAAGCAAATTTCCTGAGTCTGCTCTGACCAAATATAAAAATTAAGAGAACATATTAGGCTAGAGAGGGGATTCAGCAGATAGAGTGATAAACACTACCTGCGATGTTTGGGACTCAAAGAGTTAACTTCATACAAAACTGTTGTTCTCACTCCATACAACAATACAGACTTTACTTCATGAAACCACACAGACTTAACTTCACCAAAAAGCTTGCAATAGAAATCACTAAACTTTATGCCACTGGAAAAAGTACCAGTGGTCTCATACCTGAATGTGTTTTAAATCTGGATCCGTTTTGGTAAGCAAACTCTTGGAGTTTAGAGGTTTGCCACAGAGATTACTAGACGTATCTATCAGCTGTCTTCTTTCTGGCTTTGTTCCATTTCTGTCCTCTGTCAGTCAGGGACTGTCAGATGCTGTCTTCCCAGCGGACCCTGGAGGTCTGGTTTCCTGGTTCTTAGCTTCCCATGCCTGTGACGTTGGCCGATTTTCTCACATTCTGCATACATTTTCAAACTATCATAACTGAACTGATCAGTCACACAAGTTGCAAGGCCTGGATTTCAAGATCTTGCTATAGTGTCTGACTGCGAACTTTGTCCCTTCTTGTCACTTGGACCACCATTCTCAGATATCTCTTTTTTTTTTAGGCCTGAAGCTGGCTTATGTGAGCTGTTGTCATTGCCCATGACTCCCCCCCCCCCCCCCCCCCCCCCCCCCCCCGAACTATTCCCAAATTTAAAAAAAAAAAACGGAGACCATACTATGTCTAACAAATAAACAAATCATCATCAAGTCACCTGCTGAGTGGTGTGGGCGATCACACGTCTAAACAACATGCAATGTCCAACAGCATGCATTAGTTTATGTGTTAACACCTCTCCAGGCCATGACACGGGTCAGTAAAAAAAAAAAAAAAAAAAAAAAAAAACTTTAATAAATACAAACAATTAAATGCTGTCCCCACTAAATAAACAAACAAACAAACAAGTGCTGTCCTCAACCAAAAAAAAGTGCTGTCCCCAACAAATAAACAAGTGCCATCCCCAACAAACAAGTGCCATCCCCAACCAACAAACAAGTGCTGTCCCCAACAATTAAATGAAAACATACAATACACTGACCCAAACTCTGTCTGTTTCTGTAGAAGGTCAGCGTTCCATGCCACATGTCCAGATGCACCCCAATAATAGTACCCTGGCCAAACCGGCTGCAGTACTTTGACTTCTTGCCCTCATGCTGCACACGCCCATCGTAGGATATACCCCAGCTGTCCGCGTCGGTGCCCAGCATGCTGCAGAACGTGTTGTGGTATTTGTTGAGTTCCACATTCTTGGTTCCGACTCCAATCATCTGAACAGATACATGGATATACTTACAGTGAGCTAATCATAGATGATGTGAGGTCAGTTGTCACAGAGACAAATAAAACAGGTACAGTTGGCATTTTGTACATTTAAACGTAAGAGAAATAGAAACATAAACCTGGGCAGTCATCTGCAGCTCTTTTTATAGCCTCCCCAAATTACTGATCTCCCCTCTCTCTCTCCCGCTAATTATATTCTTCTAAAATCCACTTAACATCTAGAAGAAGAAAAGCAGAAAAAAATTTATATAAATAAAGAGGGAAGTAAGCAGATTTTAGAAGATAATTTCCCTTTGTGGGTTTCCGGGTCCCCATTTTAGGAGAAAAGAACAGAGTCACAGCACCCCTAGCAAGCATATCGTAAAAGGTGACTAATTAGGGAGTTTTTCCTGAGAGGCGATGAACCAACAGTCTGCTTACAAATAAGCTAGATATGTAAAATGGACGTGCATACAAAACTCAAGTTCTGAAACAAAAAACAAATAATCCAGAAACAGACAAATAACCAGAACTTTCTGCTGGAGTTTACAGCCATTGATTGTGAAGAAGAAGAAGATGATTCAAACCAAGGAATAGGAAGACAATAACAATAAATGGGTGCACAGATCACTAGAGAAAAAATCCACAAAAAAAGACAACACACAAACTATCATCCAAACAGACATACATAGACACATACTTGAGCCAGACAGAATTAGATACAATAACATAAACAACTTGACGATGATGATGATAGATCAGCGATTCTCAACCTGTGGGTTGCGATCTCTATAGGGGTTAAACAACCCTTTCACAGGGATCGCCTAAGACCATCAGAAAACACATTTTCACTAAAGTTATGAAGAAGCACAAAAATAATGTTAAGGTTGGGGGTCACCAAAACATGTATTACAGAGTCGCAGCATTAGGAAGGTTGAGAACCAGTGTGATACATAAATGATAAACAGAAGTTCATATGAGTGGAAGAAAAAGATGACACTCACCATGTCAGTCCCATAGACAGGAGTTGTCAGTTTGATCTCCCAGAAATGCTGATCCTTGTCCATGGCTTTCAGGCCACGGATGGCTGTCGTTCCTGAGCTATAGTCTTCATGGAAAACAACCAGAGAATCCTGTTCCTTCAGACTTGTAGCTTCCCCACGCTGTACAGTATCCCAGACCCACTCCACGTCTGCCACATCCAATGTTTAAACGGTGGTTATTTATAGCTCATTAATTATGATCATTCTTCTCTTCTTCTTCTTCTTCTTCGCATTCACCAGCTCTAATTCTGGTGGAAAATTATGTTTGTTTGTCCACCTCTGGACTTTAATCTTGTTCCAGAATCCGAGTGTTGCATGCACATCCGTTTTATATATCTAACTTTGCATGCAGATTGTTGGTCTCAGATCTGTCTCTCAGGCAGATGCACTCCAGCTTTGAAAGAAGCCCACAATAAGTCGACTGTTACGACATGCTTGTTGGGAAGGCAGTGGGTATATTTTTGTTTTCCTTCCCCCATAATGGGGCCTTAGAACCGACACAGGGATTATTATCATTCTATATCGTCTTTATTTAAATTATATATAATGCTAGATGAAACTAACAACCACATGTCATTATTGTAATAAGTGGTTTTGATTTCTACTCGTTGTCTAGGCAGAGTTCATGCGTGTGTGGTGGATGATATTCTCACACGCTCCACGTTTCACAACTGGCACAAGCCGACACCGATGTGAGCTTACGAGACATGAATTTATTGACGTATTAAGACTTACGACAAACGAATAGTCCAGTCGGTGTCCTAGTGAACAGCTTTCGTACACAAACTCACGCAGCCTTCAACGAACATTCTTCTGCAGGCATTCAAGCAACGATGGGTCCCATGGATTCAACATTGATGTTTGGACATCTCACACGCTGGCATGGTCGATGATCTCAGCTTAACACTTCGTCGGCAGGTCTCCTTTCTCCTCAGGCACTCACGTAGACATTCTCACATTCAGTCGCTCGTCCTCTCACTCCAACAGGTCGACACAAACTAAACTTGACCAGAGTCAAGTCTGACTTATACCACGGGTTCGTTTCACGTGACAACACGTGGTGGTCCTTTACTTTTCCCGTGGCGACCTTGGGTCGCATCCTCGTGGTCCCCGTGATAACTAGTGGTTAGTCACCTATCTCCAGATTCTCGTTTAATCCAAGTATCTGGACTATCTCGGTGTTTTCGGTCAGCTTTGGGCCTTCCCCCCAACCATCCTAAACTGAGTGGAAAATATCCCCCATTACAATTACTTTGTTCTTCCTGAGATTTTTTTTTTTCAGGGCCTTTAAGCCACAGATAGCTGGCATTAGCTATAAGGGGGGGGGGGGGGGGGGGGGGGGGTTAAGAAGCAATGCTAAACAGGTCAAGGCGTACATAGGAGTATCAGCAAATGTTAGCCACCCAATACATGGCGCTACAGATGCGTAAAAGGAAAGGAAATCAAAAGAGGTCGCTCCTGGATGGCCAAGGCTGATAACTTAATTAAGCAAGTATGTGTGATGAGATCAGTTGCGGTAAAGAATGCATGGATATACCTGTAGACATGTATGACCTTTCTAAGGTTCTCGCCACACTGGGGAGGCATTGAAGGAAGAATCAGATTCTTGCAGCCACAGACACAGAGATAAAGGCACTGGCAGATCAGCATTTATTACCAGATATCATCAGATAGGTTCAGTTAACATGGGTCAAGGTGAGATGGGTATATACAGCACAAAGAATAGGGAAAAAAATAAGAGAGGATAGTGGCGCTTGCCAGGCAACTACGTCAAGCATGACCATGGAGATAAGGGCTGCTTCCAGAGCACCAAAATGAGCAGCAAAACAAGTTGTCAGACAAACAATAATAGTATCAGACTCCAAGAATATACAGTAATCGTATCAGACTCCGAGAAGTACTTCAGCAGTTAACAAAAGGTGGCTTATGCTCCAGAGGGTACAAAGCATTCGGAAACCGCATTTAACCTCCCTCACTAGATCTACACACCTGGGGACGCTTATGTAAAAGGTAATAAATGTTATGTTGTCACAATCGACGTCAATGCACGTTGGGCATTCCCAAGTGTGTTCAGTCCTCTGATGCAGTAACCATTCCAGGGTATTTCTACGAACTGTTCTTATGAGAGGTTAGTTATAATGACTCCTAACTTGATTTTGAAGGCGGCATAGACGTGCTTCCCCATGCTTTACTCCCATGCCATGCAATCATGTTGGTGTCAGAGATTCGTCATTATCCACTAGCCCAGTCTGTACAATGTTGATGATATCTGCTCCATCCATGCTTCTTCCCACATGTGTTGATGCACTGCTCGCAAATTGGTCCGCTCGCTCATTACCCTTTACGAAGGTAATGAATGAAAAAGGTAATGAATGAGCAGACCAACTAGTAAGCAATGCACCAACGCATGTGGGAAGAAGCATGGACATCATGCAGACTAGCCTAGTGGATAATGACAAATCTTTGACACTAACATCATTGCATGACCTGGGAGTTAAACATGGTGAAGCACATCTATGCCAACTTCGAGACCGAGATAGGAGACATCATAACAAACTCTTCCTGGGAACAATAATACCTGTCTAGGACTTAAAGAATTACTGAGTAAGCAAATGACATTTAATAAAAGTCGAGGGAAAAGTCAAAATAAATTATACAATAATGATTTAATGTCTGTTTGTGTGTGTGTGGGGGGGGGGGGGGGTGGGGGGGGGGGGGGGGGGGGGGGGGGGGGTGCACAAGCCATGAATAAAATTGCTGACAGAGCAATGGCAGATAGAGTAACAAAATAACTAACAGAGTGGCGAATAAAATCTCATGTAACACACACACACAAACACATATACCTACATTTGTTCTCCTCCCCACAGCGACAGTCCTGGTCCCAGCCTGTTTCCGCACATTTGCAAAAGGTCTCTGTCTGCATTGACTTCTTATTCTGTAGACTAAGAATTACAGCTAACCTTCTCATTTCTCTGTATGTCAGTTCAGCTCTGTCGTACAAGGAGGCTGGAGTCTGACACCCATGGCTCCTCCTCGACTGGTCAGTCTGTCGACTATTGTTTTTTCCAAATGGCCCAAAGAACAATGATTCCTGAACAGATTTGATTTTCTCTATCTTCCGTAACATAGACATTCTTTTCAAACAATATTTACATTTAACGGGTACATTGTCTTCATGATCAGTCACTGTTCCTTTATCTGCTGTACATCTAATATTTAGATTTTCATCTGCTATATTATCTTCAGTAATTTTAGAAAATGTCAGTGTATCTGATTTACTGATGAACAATGAGTTGTCTGAAACATCACTTCCTGGACGAACTTCTTGAGGTGGCTGTTCAATAAGAGGTACATGATCTTTGAGCGAAGTCGTCATTGCTAAAGGGACTAATATGACATCAACATCAATTAAATCACTGTAAATTCAAGTCTGTGGTGATGGCTGAGGTCAAAATGCTCAGTTTTTCCTCAGTGTTGAGGCTTGATGTCTTTCCTTTGTGTCAGTTCAAGATGACACTGAAGAAAGAAAAAGAAAATGATGTAAAAAAGTAAAAAAAAAAAAAGTAATACAAATAAAAAGCTCCCATCACAGAATAATTAACATCACAGCTAAAATAGGTGACGACTTTTTAAAATTTTTTTTTATTACACCCAGAAGTAGGCCTTAAAGACAGATGCACTTTACTGACCACTGTGATTCCCTGTGATTATAGTAGTTCACTTTAGCACAACTTTCATATCTATTTTCTATATCTGTTTCAGCAAATAGAAGAATATTCTTAATAGAAGACATGCCACTAGAGTAATGTTTCAAGAGCTTATGTCTGCTACATTATAATATGCTTGATTCTGGATTTATTTATTTTTAAAAAAGCAAACTAGACAAGGAAAGGCATAAGGCAAGGAAAGCTTACAAGGATGGAGAATCTGGCACTCTTCTGAAAACCAGTCCCAAACTGTTCTCTGCGAAAAACATCCCTCTGAGAGCCTCGAGAGGTTATGTAGTAAAAACAATTAGGCCATCATCATCAGTTTTCACTTCTGCCATTATTGCTCGATGGATAGCAATTTTTAGACGTTAGGCTGAGCGCCGTGGTGAGGAATAGTTTTCGATCCCTTGAAGCCATGGGAAGGAATAGATTTATCTCCATTGTTTAAGGGTCGTGGGGAGTGGTAGTTTTTGATCTATTAAAGCGGCATGGGCAGGAATTGTTTCTGATTGACTGTTCATATTACTCGTGACTGGCCTTGTGCGTTCCAGGGCTACATGTTAAAAAGACAAAAATGAAAAAAAAAAATAGATTCACTACCACCTAAAAAAAATGTTATAAAAGGCGACTAATTAGGACTTTGCTGAAATCAGATGTGTTGGGGCAAAGGGAGCTGATATCGCAGCCTAGCTGTAAACCACAACACAATGTGCCAACCACCCTTTTAAGGGCTAATAAAAATTACCGTGTGATAGGCAGAATACTTACAAATCTACTATCGAAGACTCAAGAGTTTGGTTACCATGAAATTATATAATAACGCGAAGCATAGTTCATAGTGTTCCTATTACATATTTGTAATTATATGACCTCTTAAATCCCTGAATGGTGTATTTTTAACCGTGAATAATTTGGGACCGGTATTCAGACGAGTGCCGAGAATTTTATAGTTCGCAAAGAGCAGACTTGGCTCACCTTTGAACTTCGTCCCCATATTATGGTGGCCCAAACAAATACCCTAACAGGGCCTCAGTCGTGTGTAAAATGTGGAGTGCCTGCCAAGGAACAAATTGCGGCAAAACTAGGATCGCCTCCAAATAACGGGTAAATATTTTGGGGGGAAACAATTGCTCTAACAGGGTCTCAGCGATATGTTAATTGCGGAACTGTTTCTGCGACTATGCCGCATCGCTAAGAGTATCTCCTGAGCCGCTTTGTGCAACGTGGATTGGGCGTCTAAACTAGATTGTTGGGACTCAGGAGTAGCAGCTACCGCATCTCCTGCGACTTCCTTCAATTTTTAGGCTCGTGAGTCCCAGGCATACAGATTAGATCCCTATCAGCGACGCGCGAAGCGGCGCGGGGGATACCGTCGGCGGTGAATTTAACCGCGTTTTGTGGAGGCCGAAAAGTGTGAGGACAACAGCGAAGAGAAATACTTACCCATAATTAACATTATTATATGTTAAGGTTGTGACACAGAAGTTGCTAATAGTGCCAGAAAATCTGCTTTTTCGACAGGTCTCACATCTACAGCAGCTAAATCCTCAATCGGAAGAACACTATCGCTAATCGTCAAAGCGTGTGGTCTCCTCGCCATATCGCTATTATCTTCCGTAATGTTGCGTGTCTCGAAATTGTCAATGGTCGCTATTATCATCTGCAGAAATGCTCAAAATTGTCAATGGTCGGTATTATAGTCTGCAGTGTTGCGTGTCTTGATATTGTCAATTAATTCTAGTTTTGCCACGATTTCTTCCCCGGCAGGAACTCCACAATTTGCATATGACCAAGGCCCTGTTAGGGTATTTGTTTGGCCGCCATAATAATGATATGGGGACGAAGTTCTAAGGATAGGGACTACAGTTTCGACAATTTGCGGTCTTTTCGGCAATTTCCGTTACCCGGAAACCGTTCAGAACTTGTTCGGGAAATCTCGGCTGGTTTCCGTATGGGTCCAAATCTCTCATGAAATTTTGCTATTGGTGGGAATTTGGACCAGCTATAAATAGCTGAAAAAACAGCGTGGGGGAACCCGATTAACGCGCATGTCTACGACAAGCCGGACGTCCCTCTGTTTTTCTGTTAGTCATCAGTTTGATTGAAAATTTGTAAATTCGAGGTTGGCTTTAGGCTTTAACTGTTACTCGTCCTGGTATTGCTAGGTATTTTTGAATTCTCCGTCCAATTTTACATTTGTGTATAAAAATTTTCTTTCTGGACGGTGGCTAGGTAGATGTTACAGTGACATTTTTCAGGCAATCGCTGGCTCAGCCAGTGGCTGTGTCTCATTGCCTGCCATCTTGTCCAATGACAGTCCAATGTAAACAAAGCCGATACAGAAACTGCGCAGTAGGTTGCGCAGTAAAAAACTTCTTGTTTCTGGGTCACAAAGTTTTAGCGGCTGTTTTCTTACATCATCATCTCCACAAAACCTACATATCTCAGCTCAGAAATGACATACAAGCCTAAATGAGGTACCATTGGAAAGAAATTGTTTACAGCTATCTAACTGTGCTGGTTTTATTGGTGTAGAGGGCATTTTAAAAATTTTACTGAAGTAGCTACTAAGGAGAGCTGCAGACTTCATATTTCAATTCTTCAGCCATATATTCAATATTTTAAGAGTGAATGGTGCATCTGTAATTTCAATGTCTTAGATCTGCCATTTGAAATCCATCATTTAACAACTGTCTGATTCATAATTTTATTTCAGACATTTTGCTGTTTTCCAACTTAAGAATTTAGAAGTAGAGAGACGAGAGCAGTGATCCCATAAGATAAATATAAAAATAAAATAAATGGGAGCAATTTTGTCTTGTTGATGTTGAGATTTGTTTTAAGAAAGACAGCAAGGTAACAAATTACCTATGGTCTCATAAGGATGTAGTACAGCAGATGATAAATCGGTGGTATCTGGTTTAAAGACGCAATAGCAGCAAGTTGTGTGCAAACTTCGCAGTAAGAGCCCAGCAAGTCGCAGATTACAGTGGCAGGTGAACAGTTTCCACCATGTTTTGTAACACTGTGGCCAGATACTTTTTACATTTCCTGTCCAACTGCTGACGGAAAACAATCGAACTGTTGGCAAATTTTGCTTAGATGTTAGTTAATGTTTTTATTCATGATTCTCAAATACTAGTGCTCGATATCCGCATCGGAGGATTTATTAATATTATTATTATTAATGATTATTATTATTAAAGAAAACCGTATTTGTGGTCTTTGGACTGTTACAAGAGAGCTGCATCGTGGAAGAAATTGGGACCTCACTCTCGAATACTCCCAAAAGACAGCAGTGGTACAACCTTCATTGTGGAGACAATACACAATCTGCTAAATGTACCAATATACTCCTGGACATTTGGTGACCGGGCGGTTAGTTTACCCATATATCACCCCAATTTGTAGTTAGTGGTTGTTAGAACAATTGTTTGTTGAGTATCAAAACTGAAAGGAAGACAATAATAAAAAAAGAAATAGCCTTACCATTCATCATCAGTCATCAAGTCCTTTACTAAACGTTGCTCTCTTCACGGCATGCCCGAGAGAATCCTTTTCCCTAGCCAGCTCTCCGGCTTCATGTGCTTTCAACACCAATGTATCTTCAATGTCCTGTATCCATAGTTCCGGCGGTCGACCTCTGCCTCACCATCCACAAACTGCACCCTTTATCACCGTCTTTTGTAAGCCAAAATGACGCTTGATGTGGCCAAAATCAGGGCTGCCAATGAGATTTTTTTTTGAAAAACCCAGCTTAGCTGAACAAAAACCCGAGCAATACACAGAAAAAAAACAAAAACAAAAAACCCAGATTGTTATGTACCACCTGATATGGCCGAGAACTGATGCTGATAAAGGAAAAACCCTTCTGGCGCGCTACTTGGAGCAAACTGACCAAAAAGACGAAGCTACAAGAATAGGGGTTAAGATGAAACTGTCGATGCTGAGCGAGAACACTGTGCTAGGCACTGATCTCACAATCACTGCAGATACCTTAAGAACTTGCCTCAAGAAATCGCGCAGCACTGCTCCAGGCCCTGACGGCATCCGATACAACGACATGCTGATGATGTCGAATGCTGATTTGAAAAGCGTGGCAAAGGAATTCAATATCAGCATCCAGAGTGGCCAGATACAAGAGGAATGGCTCCATAGTTATTTGTTCCCACTACCAAAGCCTAACAAAGACCACTCAAAGATCTGCGGCTACAGAATTATCTCGATGCAGAATACTGTTGGCAAACTTTTGGAAAAAATTGTCGCACAAAGATTGACCACCTACTTGGAACTACATGATAAGTTCCCACCAACACTTGGAGGGTACAGGTTAAATAAAGAGACATGGTTCAATGCTGCAGTTTTCGCTTACGATGTGTACGAGGGATTTCAGATTAAAAAAGAGACATGTGCGGCAGTATTGGACTTAGAAGATGCCTACAATAAAGTACCATATGATTATTTAATGCAATTACTGCTTAAACTAGAAGTTAATCCTATTCTGATCCGCTGGATTGCTGCGGTCCTGTTCCAGAGAAAGATTGTACTAAGATGTGGTAGCTGGTCCTCAGAACCGTAAACGATATGTCCAGGCTTGCCACAGGGATCACCGCTATCACCAGTCTTATTCAACGTTTATACGGTGATGATCACTGAGCAGCAGTTG